AGCATCCTAAGTGCTGCATTCAATGCTCACTCTGTCACATTCAAATCGAGTTCTTTGGGAGTTTGAGGGGTTGTAGTTGTTGGATTTTTGGAGTTCCCTGAATTCCAAACGTGAATACCTTACCAGATAGAGTCATTTCCCCCCTTGCAGGAATCATTGGCTTTTTCTGTTAATGTTGTCTTTTGAGGCACAGTATTTTTTTTTGCCCCTGTTCTTCTGTGCCTTTGGTGTCATACCCAAGAAAGCATTGCTAGTTCAGTGTCACAAAGCTTTTGTCTGGTGGTTTCTTCCATACTTTTGGGGTCCTCAGTCATCCTTTTCTTGGATACTTAGACCATTGTGCCTGTTTGCATGTTAGATAAGGGTCAAACTTCGTTCTCTTACATGTGGACTTCCAGCTTCCCCGACTCCATTTGTTGAAAAGGCTGTCCTTTCTCCTTTGAATGCTCTTGGAAATCAGTACTCACTGATTTGAGCACATAATCTGTGGCTGATTTCTGAGCCATTAGTTTTAGTGCATTGCGCTATGTATCATATGCCAGCTACCACACTGTTTTGATTACTGTAGCTTTATAGACATTTTGAAGGCAGAGGGTGTGTGTTCTTCTACTTTGTCCTTCTTATCTTTTCGGAGCTCCGAGAGATTCTGTGAAAGGATTAGAGTGACTTTTTAAAATTTCTGCGGAAAACACCATTGGGATTGTGCTGGCTGATACTGACATTGAGTCTTGCAATCCATGAGCCTGGCTGTCTTTCCGTTTATTTGTGCCTTTGATTTCTTTCAGCAATGTGTTATAACTTTCTTTGCAGTCTTCCTCATTCTCAGTAAATTGCTAAGTATTTTAGTTTTGTTGGTGCTATTATAAATGGAATTGCGTTTGAAATTTTTTTCAGATTGTTCATCGTTAGTATGTAGAAAGTCAACTGATTTTTGTGTGTCACTTTATATCCTGCTGTTTTGTTAGATGCATTTATTTTGTGTGTGTGTGTAAGATCTTTAGTGTTTGTACATCTGAGACTATCATCTGGGAACAAAAAATTGACTTCCACTTCTCTGATTTCGGTCATTTTATTTTGTTCTCTTAATTAACTGCCCTGGTTAAAACTTCTAGGACAGCATTGTTTAAAATAGCAAAAGGATAGCACACTCTGCTGTTTTTGATCTTAAAGGAGTTTGAAGCTGGTGTCACTGTGGACCCTTCACATGAATGCTCCTATCACGGAGGACTGCTGAGTTGGTTAGAGGCTTTGTCTGCACTGATTGAAATGAAGATCTTCTTCCTGTCCTCTATTCACATGCTGAATCAGGGTGGTCGGTTTCCATGCATTAAATCAAGCTTATTTTCCAGCAGTAAGTTCCATTTGGGCACCATGTGCAGTCTTGATGGGCTGCTGTGTTCTGTTGTTTGCATTTTGCGGAGGACTTTCTCTGCTTCCGTGTTTCTAATACAGGTCTGTAGTTCTCACACAGGATCTTCACTGGGCTTCACTGGGCAGGATCTTCCGGGCATTGCTAACTTCATAGCAGAATTTGGGAAGGGTTTGGCACTGGCATCTGGCAGAATTCACAGTAAAGCCATTTTGTGGAAAAGTCGCATATACTGTGTCAAACTCCAAGACTCTTGAGTCAAAACATGCAAGTCATGGAATTACAGGAACTTAGATCTTCTCTTGCTTTCAAATAAAACTAAATAAATCTTTTAAAAGAAAAAAAAAAACAATATAAGCTTAGCTCTGTAGGTTGAGTATCCCTTAGCTGATGTGCTGGGACCAAAAGTATTTCAAATTTCAGATTTGTGAGTTTTTTGTTTTGTTATTAAAATTTGCTTATAGATCATGAGATTCCTGAGAATTAGAACACAAGTCTAGCCACGAAATTAGTTCACGTTTTCCATTTACTCGATAAACATATGGTATGAAGTAACTTTTATTCAGCACTTCTAATGCAGCTGAATTTTTAATAGGTTTTTTTTTTTTTTTTTTTTTGAAACACACAGAGAGAGAGGGAAAGAGAAAAGGACAGGCAGAGGTTTTCCATCTGCTGGTTCACATCCCAGATGGCGCTGGCCAGTGCTGGCCCAGGCCGGTCCATCTGATCTCCCAAGTCCTTGGACCCTCCTCTGTTACTTTCCCAGGCACATCAGCAGGGAGCCAAATTGGAAGTTAGAGCAGCCAGCTGGATCCCCGATAATAAGATGCTGGCCTCAGTTCTTGCCTCACAAGGATAGACTTGTACCTGCCCCCTGCAGGCGTGACATCACATTAATGTTAAAAAATTTTGAGATTTTGGAGTTTCAGATGATGGATACGTGACTGGCACATACTAACATACTTCTAGGAACTGGTAATCAGAGGCTGGTGCCGTGGCTTATAAGGCTAAGCCTCTATCTACAGCACTAGCATATGGCACTAGCATCCTGGCTGCTCTACTCCTGATCCAGCTCCCTGCTTGTCACCTGGGAAAGCAGTAGAAGATGATGGCCCAAAGCTGTGGGATCCTGCAGCCATACGGGAGACGCGGAAGAGGCTCCTGGCTTCAGATGGGCCCAGCTCCTGCCATTGCGGTCATCTGGAGAGTGAAGCAGCAGATAGAAAATCTCTCTCTCTATTTGTGTGTATGTCTCCTCTCTGTATCTTTGCCTATCAAATAAGAATAAAATTATTTTTTAAAAAAGAAAGGAAACATGGTGATCAGATATGAGCTCAAGGGACTCTCCACACATACTAGTGTCCTCGAGCTTGGGTATGCAGATGAATGGGCCAGTTCTGATCCTGGAGATGCAGCTGATGAGTCAAGACAGCAGATGCAGCACGCTCCAGCTGGTGCTGATGTTGCTGGTTCCAGCTACACATTGATGCCTCACAGACCGGGCTGTGCCCACCTCATAATGCCCTAACATCTGATACACATTGAGAACACCAGAAGATCTTAATAAAGCAGGGGTCGTTCCAATCACATAGGATGGAGACTGCTCATTTCCACAAGTGTTCACCAACACTGCTGCACACAAGGTGTAAGGAAGGAGCAAGGTAACCCAGAGATCCTCTCAGGGCTTAGGGACACAAAGGAGATGTGCCCCGCACGAGCTGGTGTGCTGGCTGGGAAGGCACCAGGAAAAGATGACGAGGACACACTGGGCCAGGGCATGCAACTTCACGAAGGCAGGATGTAAGAACAAGCCTTCAGCTCTCTTCTGAAGCTATCCATGGCTGATCTACATGGATCTATCCATGGCTACATCTGGGAAGCTGAATGGAACATCAAGGTTATCTGGTCTTGCCTGTCCCTCCAATAAGAGCAAAAGTTGCCAGAGTTGTCTGATGTTGAGAACACGCAAGGGCGTTCTCTGGGGAAGGAAGAAGGTCGGGGAGGAGCCGAGAACCTGGGTCAGACCATCTCGTCAAGCACATTGGGATGTTTTGAAAGCTTGTCCTTGGGGTGTGGCAGGTGCCCCAGAAATCTTGATTCAAGCAGTGCAATGAACAACTTCTGTTCTGAGTGTGATCAACACTTGCTCAAGCCACTTGGGTGAAGGTGACCGCGTTCTATTTCGACCACTCTCAAGTTTGCATGCAGGATCACATGAAGCATGCACATTGTTCCTGGTGCACATTCTGTCGTTTGAAAACATGCTTCCAGACTTTTCCATTCATCTGAAGGAGGTGCTCTCTTTCTTCCTCCGGCGAGGCTGCTGTATTATCACTGTCGCTACCAGCAAATAGAGCAGGTTCGGTGAGAGAAAATGTTTATATCTCTTAGAAAGCCACAACACTTAAGAGCCCTGGAGATGAAACGCTGCTAGCCCCAACAGTTCCGAACTCGCCAGGGGAATTTAAGAAAGCTCCTGCCCTGTGTCTCCCCAAATCTCAGTCTCCAGTATTTTTTTTTCTTCTTCTTCCTCTTTTTTGCTTCTCCTCCCATCTCTTTTTCTTCCCTAAAAATTTATTTATTTATTTATTTAAAAGAGAGATATAGAGAGAATCTTGTATTGGTTCACTCATTACATGCCCCGGTGGTCAGGGCTGGGCCAGGCTGAAGCCCGAACCCTGGCTCTCCCTCAAGTTCTCCCACACAAAAATAGAAACCTGAGCACTTGGAACATCTTTAGCTGCTTTCCCAGGATCAGAAGTGGAACAGCTGGGATTTGAACCAGTGCCCATATGAGATGTCAGCACTGAAGGCTACAGCTTAACTCACTGCCACAATGTCAGTCCTCCTTTTTGTTGTTGTTGTTTAGCATTTGCAGCCTAGAAAAACTCAACCTAGGAAAACCCACATGAGGTTACTCTTGATCCTATCCCACAGGTGTATTCTATTGAACCAAGCATGAAAGTTGGCTGGTGCCTGGGGAGCTCCCTGGGACCCAGTCGCAGAAGCGCAGGCAGATGAGTCCCAAGCCAGGTGTGTGGCATGCACAGGACAGTGTGTGTGTTTCCTTGGCTGTGGAATTGTGGCTCTTCCTGGAACTGATCCGCGTCTGGTGGGACATCATGATAGGCCCCTTCTGCCTTGGCTGCACATCGCCCTTCTTGGATGAGGAGCCATGGCCAAGTCAGGTCTGAGCACAGATTTGCCACTACGGCTCCTTTGGGAACAAGGCAGATCCTGTTAGGCCTGGATGATTCAGGCGTGGGTTGCATGCAACATGTCTGCCAGCAATCGAGGCTTTCTCTAGGGCTGCAGCAGATCCAGTTCCTGTAGAGAGCTAAGAGAGACGGGGGAATCAGTTTCTGACTGGCTCTGGCTGGTTGCCCTGATGGAACCTTTTTAAAATTCACAGACTAGGTAGGGACTGCGTATTATCTGCCTCTCACAGCCACTCTACATATTAGCTGAACGCATATCCTGGAACCATACGGGTCTGGGTGATGAGCTGTCTCCTCAGAACACTTTTCATTCCATCTCTGTTTCCTCCTCTTCCAGGGAGAAATGGGTCCCCTGAGACACGTGTGACCTGCCAGGCCAGCCCAGCAGCCTGTCACCCAGCCGGGGGAGTACCATGGACAGCGTCCTGAACCAGAAGGGCGTGTTGGTGCATGGAAAGCTCACTGACACTGGCAAGAGGAACGGATTGATCAACACCAGAAACTTCATGGCCGAGGGCAGAGATGGCCTTGTGTCTGTCTACCCAGCACCCCAGTATCAGAGCCGCCAGGGGGTGGCCGGTGTGGCATCGGCCAGCCTGGATGGCAACAGGAATGAGCCATCTCAGCAGCTGCTGAACCCCAACACCTTACAGCAGTCAGTGGAGTCCCACTACCACCCCAATATCATCCTCTACTCTGAGGGAGTGCTGCGCTCCTGGGGAGACGGTGTGGCCGCTGACTGCTGTGAGACCACCTTCATTGAGGACCGGTCACCCACCAAAGACAGCCTGGATTACCCTGACACCAAGTTCATCAACCTTTCGGCTGATGACATCAAGATCCACACCTTGTCCTATGAAGTGGAGGAGGAGGAGGAGTTCCAGGAGCTGGAGGTCAGACGGTGCCCTTATCACAGGCCTTTTGGAATGGTTGTGTAGGGAGGAGAGAGGTAATGGGGCTTGGGGGGACTTGGAGTGTCCAGCAGAAGTTAGAGGATGAAATTAGTGTGGTGAAATGCCCAGGAACTCAGGGGCATGTTCTGGTGCCACTTCACTGCTGGCACTCTGTGCATGATGTAGGGAGTGGAGCGATATAGGCAGAGAGCCATGGTGGCTTCAGCAAGGCTTCTGGCCAGAGGTCATCCAGGATAATGACCATCACATTGTGACGGGGAAACCACCAACAGAGAGTGAGAACGATAGAGAAAGAGAGAAGAAGAGAGAGAAAAATGCTCATTGACAAAAGTGAACAAGAAGGGGAAGAGGGATGCGTGGTCCCAGGGCCACATGGGGCTGTGACAATTGTGGCAGTGTTTTGGGGGTCACATGTGGGTATTTTTACTTGTCACGTCAAGGTTTCTATTAAGAATTTCAACCTGCTGGAAGAATAAGTAGATGATTTAAATCGTAGGACAAACGGTCTCTTTGCTGGCCTTACAGAGCTTGGTGGGCTTTGCACAGCCACATGGAATGTGCCTTCCCCATGTGGTGCAATGGATACAGTACATGCCACCTTAGAGCCCCTAAGTCTCCTCCTCTTGGTACTGCTGGGGCCAGAAGTGCCTGTGGACTTGGTCATCTAGGATGTTGTGTTGCAGACTTAGGAGGGTATCAGCCGTGGATCAGAAGGTAGAGGGTATTCTCCCAGGACTTGAGTGACAAAGAGATATGGACCCGTTCCATCCATTCAGTGTTGGGGAAGCAAATGGTGAGTGGGTCAGACTTGCAGGAGGCAGTCTGTGGTCAAGTAGAGACTCAGGAGGAAAGAAGCCTTGTGTGGGAGCTGAGGGGGAATGGGGATGGAGCAGGGGCTTCAGGACCAGTTGGCTGCAAGGCTGTGGTGCATGGCATATGAGGACCGCTGTTGGCAGAGATCAGCAAGGTGCTTGACTGGGGCAGAGATCTGCTGCTGCGTAGAGGAAGGTTGTGGAGGAAGGAAGGAGGGGTCTTCACTGGCCATGGAGTTAGAGAATTCCTTGACATCTTGGCAGGGCTCATGGGAGCATCCATGTCTGTAAGCAGCAGCTCTGGCTGCAGAGCTGAGCAGGGATGTGGGGACTGCAGGGGAGAAGGTAGTGTGTGGGAGAGGTGCCAAACCCTACAGAGAGAGAGAGAGAGAACAGAACTGGACAAAGGAAGCAGAAGGACCTAGAGCTGAATTTTCACAGTGAAAACAGAAGTGAGAGGAGAAAGGTGAGAGGGACATGTTCTCAAGTTCCCTGCCGGCCAATTTAGCTGGTAGTGGAGTCTCAGCTTTTTAAGAGGTTGTGGCAACTCAGTTGCAATATGTAATTCACCCTGGCAGGAAGGACTTCGGATTGTCACTGGGGTGAAAACATGAAACCCTTGAGCTTCTTTCTCACTCCTGCGGGTTTTGCTCCTTCCCTTCTATCCATTCGCTTTCCTTGCCATTGGGGTCAGCACAGGTGGCCGGCATGTCTTGGTAGTCTGCTCATTTCCCCAGGTGTTCACACAGAGATCTCAGCCCGTGGGTGTGCATTTTGGGTCTCTACCAAGATCTGACATCTTCTCAGGGATGTTCTCTTACATCCAAAATTAGGAGGGAAGTGAAGAAAACTCACTTATCCTGCAGATGGGGTACAGACTCCCAGGGAGCAAGCTCTCCTCCTCTCCCAAGATGAGTCCTGTTGTAGGGACAGCAAGGGCAGTCTGCAGAAGCAATTGTGCTATTAACACAGTAGCAAGACTCTTGTGAGAATGACGGCTGTTTCAGGATTTTAGGGCAGCCTTTGATCTCAGTAGTGAGATGCAGTGCAATGGCCTTTATACCTTTACACCTGGGCCTGAAAAGGAGCATGGGGGCAGCAGTGCACCTGCCTCTTAACACTCGAAGGACTTACACACTGACATCCAAGAAGCCAAGAAGTGGCTCCTCTCCCAGAGCCTGGGGGCAAAGGATCCAAGACATATGGAGGGTGCTGTGGCTCCTTCACTGGGTAGCCCAGAGTAGTGGAACTTGGGCAATCTATGAAACAAACACATCCTGCCAAAAAATGATCCATCAGCATCACTGTGGGGCTGTTTAGCCCTTTTTTTCTGTTCATAAAGCAAGACCAATGGCTGACAGACATTTCATCTTAGGTACAGTAACTGTTCTTCAGTTCTCTCTTCCAAACTGTGTACAACCAACGGGCATCATCAGTTAGCGCTGGCTGCACAGCAAGTCATCTGACTCTTAGTGGCTTGAAACCACAGCTGTCTACTGGGATCGTGACACATACTGGCCAGGTGGCACCCTCAGCAGCAGAAGCGACAGCTTCAGCTGTACCTGGAGGCATTGCACGGCAGCCACGGGTGGGATCCCAAAGCGACAAGAGAGTGTAAGCCTCAGTGCCCAGTGGCTCATCAAGTGCCTGGGTCTAACTGGCCAAAGTGGCCAGGATCAGTTAGTGGTCACAGTACACTCCACCTCAGTACCTGCAGGGGACTTGGTCAGGGATTTGGCGAGGAAACCAAAGTCTCACAACTCTTCAGGCCTCTGTACAAACCTCTGTTGTAGGACCTGCACATCACCCCATATAGTTGCCACCATCTGCAGTTGACTTACAAAGCCTAATGCAATATAAATTCTGAATAAATCGTTATATTACTTATGGCGTTTTGATATTTAAGACAGGACATTCACAGTCCAGGTGCATTTTAGCTCTTGGGGTGGGTTTGATCTGCAGGTGGTAGAACGCATGAAAGTGTCATGCACATACACAGTGTGGCAGAATGCATGGATGTTCATGCACAGTTGTGGTGGAATGCACTAATGCGTCTTGCACATGCGCAGAGGGTGGACGCCTCTATATGAAAGTGGAATAAGTCACTGCCAACACTACAACTTCATAGCAAACATGTGTCCACCATTTGGCGTAGGTTTTTTGGAAAGCATCTAATTGCAGACTGACGACAGTCCTTTTTCAACTGAAACACGCCAAAACCTACGGTAAATATTGACCCAGACTCTTAACCTGTGGCTTTTAAACCCTTTTGGGAATTCTGTGCCTTCACTTGGTATATGAGAAATCAATAGTGCTTTTTCCAAAAACAGTTCTGTGAAGGCTATGGCCTTGCTTACAAGCCCGTCCCTGCTGTGTGCCCATGTGCTTCCAGGAGCGCCCATCCCAGGCTTTCTTCACTGGTGGCCCTTTGTCCAGAGAGGGGTCACTAGATGGGCACACATCACCTCCCGAGCATGCGGCATGTCCCCTTTGTGTGGGGCAACTGTGTTAGGAACACGGGGCGTTCTGTGGCTCATTTTGTGAATGTTCACACAAGATTCTCTGTGATTGAGCAGGTGTTCCTGGTCCAGCTTTCCTTCTGTTCAGACAGGAGAGTGAAGTAGAATAAACAGTGACTTCCGGTTAGACAGGAGGCTCCAGGGGCCTTCGGAGGTGTGTGGACAGGCGTTGCCCTGGGGCACCGTCGGCACTTTCCAAGTGCTGATCCCTGGTTCCTGTCCACTGCCTAATGCAATCCCAGCCAGAAGCTAAACACTGCAGTCTCCAGGAGCATCAGCTGCGGGCCAGCCCTTCTCCCACTAACAGAAGCAAGCCATCAAGAGGGACATGGGAAGCAAGCAACAGAGCATTTCTGCCAGCTCCATGCTTTGCAGTGTTATGGTAGGACAGGGGCCCAGTGGGATCACAGCTGTGGAGCTTCACTAGCAGGGCACCAGCTGGCTGCATCCTCCGGTGCCAGAGGGAGGGAACCCATGCACAGAACTTGGGGGCCAGGCTCAATCCACTCTCAAGAATCAGAGCTAAGCACTTCACCTCTCCCACCTCTTAAAGGTGCCACTACAACCACCCCCAACACCACCACTGCCACACTGGCACCAAGCCCACAACCTACAGGAAGATGCACTAACTTCATGCCTTCTCTCACCTGAAGGGAGCCAAGGGAGGGGCCATCAGCACTGGGAACAGATAATGCAGAAGCCAACCTGGGGTGCTCCTGGGATCTCACAGCTTTGCTGGCAGCCCTTGGACCTAAAACTACCCTGCTGCCATCAGACACGTGATCCTAGATGACAAAACAGCTGCTCTACATTGGGGGAAAGCCACGTGTTGCATTGAGCTGCGCTTTAGGACAGGATTCAGACACTCCAGGAGAGGGAAACAGGTCTTCATAGCCCCAGAGATACTTGCAGTGGGGGCTGATTTGGGTTGGAAGGAATTTGTTTTGTTCTGGTTGGGTGTGCTGAGCTTGCTTCACTGGCTAGAACCTCAAATGCAGCACTGGATACACAGGTAAGTCCATGAGCATCCACGCTGAGCACCTGACCTCACAGGGGGAGTATTGAACCTTCATGACAAAGGATGCTGTCCACTGTAGTTTCTGGTAGATGCTGTTAATATGGAGCAGAAAATTCTCTTTGGTCACAGCTTTGTTAAGCAGTCTGTTCGTAGTTGAACAAGGTGCTTTTTTGAGATTAATTGATGCCTATCAGTTGGGTGTTTTTTGTTTGTTTTTGATCCTTAGTCAGTTGTCATTGCATCAACTGGTTTGAAGAGATTCCTGCTCTTGGGGACACATTCCACTGAATCATGGTGTTCTGTCCTCTTTAAATGCTGCTGGGTGTCATTGTTCACCAAGTTTTTTTTTTTAAGGTTTATTTGTTTTTATTGGGAAGGCAGATCAGATTTGAGAAAAGAAGGAAAAACAGAGAGAAAGATCTTTCATCCATTGGTTCACTTCCCAAGTGGTCATAATGGCCAGAGCTGCTGAGCCAATCTGAAGCCAGGAGCCAGGAGCTTCTTCTGGATCTCCAATACAGGTGGAGGGTAACTGTTCAAGTTTTTAAGAAGTCTTATGCACAAAATGCGCTACTCTGGACTGGAATTGTGCAGTAAGGTTTTAAAGGTTAGGGTTGTCTGCGTTAGAGG